TAGTTCCTTTAAAACGTGGTCAACTTTTTTTAGCTTAACTTTTGAAAAATTGAAACATCCCTTTGCAGAAATGTACATTAAAAATATGTGCAAAGCCTAACTGTGTCACAATTAGAAGCATAGTTCAAATTAATGTTAAACATTTTGTGTATTCTCTTTTGTACACGTATCAGATGTTTAATGTTTCCTTTTAACTCCCATAATTTCTCTATCTCTGTGATAGGGGAGCACATGCTAAGACCCAACGGGGGAGAGAACAGTATGCTTAACTTTCTTCACCTTTGTAATGGGTGAGCTCTTTACATTTAAAGCAAAGGAATTGAATGTTTAAAATGTTTTCATTTTCTACCACTACATGCCTTAGTTTAAAAAGTGAAATAAGAAAGGAGATGAGAAGTATTTGTAATAGACAAAAAAGCAATTCCCCTTCTCAGTCTACGAAAATGTTCTATTCTTTCTCACATAACATATTCAAAGAAACTTCACTATGTAGCAGTCAAAAGTTAAAGATCCTTTCTATTGATTACAATCTCATAGCCTTAGAAAACCAAACTTTTCTTTCTCTGTTCATTTCAGTTATTCTGCATACAGTGTTGGGGTTTTTTGTTGTTGTTGTTGTTGTTTTTTTTTTTTTTTTGGTAGGATGATAACTAAACTGTCTTATCTGCAAATCAAAAAAAAAAATGTACTGTTGAATTCATGTATGTTCAAATTGTTACATGAGGATTGCCTGAGTACTAGAGGAAAATATTTGATGTTTGTTCAGAATCTAGGTTTACTGCAGTGGTGTTTATTTATGCATTTTTCCCCAAATAATAAATTAATTTGAGTCAAATACTATGCTTTCCATGGCTTGGGGGAATTTGATTTAGTGACTTGAGCCACTGACCTGGTAAAAAATCTATAGAAACATCTGGTGCTGTGAAATAAAAGACACTAACACAATGAATACTCATTTTCCCCCGGATGCCTGTAGTAAACCATATTCATTATTGCTATGTTAAATGATTATATGTCTTGAGTTTTTCTCTACCCCCCACCTTCAGGAATTTTTGTAATGGATATATACTAACCCATACAGAATTCACCTGATTTATGACTATGTTGCAAAAGCTGTTGAACATTTAGTAAACAGGCAGAATTTTCTGAGTTCCTCTAAAAATGTAAATGTGTATTTTCTCAGTTCTTGCTTTACCACTCTGACGCACACACACACAGACACACATACAGACACACACACACACACACACACACACACAATACTAAATATTTCTCTGCATGCTCACTCCAGTGTGGCAAATGTCATACAGCATACATACTTTCATCAGAAAGTTGTCTTGTTTGGCTTTTACCTTCGTGTCTGTGTTTAGATTGTCTGTACCAGGTAGTAAAAGGGAAGACAGAATGGAAAAGGGACAGGAACGTCCTTTGGGTTCCTGTAAATACTTATTTGCACTGATATTGTATAGATGGTAGTTGTCACCTTTTATATCCTAAGGCTTTTGGTAGTGTGTCAGAAACAAGATAAAGGTCGTATCGCTTAAAGCCTATTATGGGCATAAAGGGTAGGGAAAAATGTAGCCCATAAATTGGCAAATTAACCCCTGCCATGCTTTAATAATCTGTAAGACATTTTAAGATGAGCAAAATGGATCAATTATTTTTTCCTTACCCTAAATTTATGAGCTGATACTCTGTGATTGATTTTGGTAAGAATATCAGAATGACTCCTTTTTTAAATAAAGCTTTGTCTGTCTCAGTGTACAACTTGCTAAGTACACTTAGGCCTACCTCTTATGTTAGGATAAGATCATGTAAGCACCATAAACAAGAGATTACAGAGATCTCTAGGCTAAATAGAGAAGTGGTTCAGTCTTAACCTCCTTATAAAGGAGCCGGGAGTGAGGAGTGGAGAGGAAGGGGTTACAAGAATTTCTAGGATTATGAATAGTCTAAATGAATTAGGTAATTAAGAGACTCTTCTTAAATATATCCTAGACATATCTGAAAAAGAATCCTATAAATGAGAGCTATGCATGCCTTATGCTTAATTGATACATTATATGAAAATTATTTTTGCCCGAGAATCCAAATGTCATGTTTGAAAACCAAAGGGGTAACATCACACACACACACACACACACACATATATATATACTCTGAAAACCCGATTTTGTAAAATAGGACTCTGTTTCCTTTCTCAGAGAATCTTGCCTGGGTTTGTCCAGCTGAAAAAAAGAAGTGGGGCTGTAGAATGATCTCTTGATCCTCGGACAAAACTGAGGAAAAAGTCTAACAAATGCATCGTTTTGCAGTAAATTAGATCAGATTTCCGCATCTCCGCACTCAGTCTGTGAGCTGACAGTTCAGTAAAATGTTCCCTTGTAAGGTTCGCCCTCTTAGGAAAAGGGGCAATAATTCATCATTAGGATTTCAGAGTCCAGGTGTAGATGGAAACTGATGGAGCTTCCAGCGAGGCAGGGCAAGTGCGTGGAAGAAGAAAATTTTATCTGAAGCCTAATTCCCTGGTTACAGCAGAGAATAATTAAGATAATATTGCTTCAAGAGTCCTTTAATGATTAAAAATCACATATGCAGAATCCATAAATTGGAGGGCAACAAATTGGCAGGCGGTAACGTCAGAGACCTGTTTTGTGCACATTGTAGTGGAAAGCGCACCAGCGGCAGCGCGCTGTACGGCCAGCCACCAGAGACCGGGACCATTCCAAGGACTTTGTTTAGATGCAACAAATCATTTGTCTGTTATTAACCCAGAGCTTGTAATTATGCAGATTGCCATAGATTTTCCTGGGCCTGGAAGTGAGATTGAGGGTTGTTCACAGTATAGCAGGCAGCTCAGGGCTGGCCATGCATTACTGAACTTGCCACATTTATCATGTTGACTGATGGCAGCAGAAGCAGGTCTCAGGTCCCAGTGGTTAATGTAGTGGGTAATTAACTGTCATTTGCCTAGTAATAGGCTGATGATCAATGGTTTGTGTGGAAACAAATTCTAATCAGGTAGCTGATAAATGCTCAGCTAGCGAGAGCAATTGAAATTGGGGGAAACTATGTCCAGAATTTCAAAATGGCATTGTGTGTGTATGTTTATTAGTTATAAGCAAACTGAGGAGTTCTTGAAAACTGCTTTCTCTCCTACCGACCACGTTCTATATCCACAAGTGCGTCTATATTCACGGAATAAAGAACTTTTTAAGGTTTCCGTATTCCTCGAAGATAATAATGAAAGGACAGAAGAAACAAATGGTACATGTGAGTGAGGTGACTTCCGAACAGAGCACGTGAAGTACACTGAAAAAGTGAATGAGAAATGTTAGGACGAACGAAAAAAATTCTGCTCACAAAAGAACAGGATGAAATCTTGGTGTGTGACGTTTCATTTTTAATGATGCCAGGAGGAGATGTGAGATATTACATTTCCAATGACGTTCTTCTTGGAGAAAAATTATTCCCTAAAACAGGGGTTGTAAACTGAGAACACAGAGGTTGTTAGAGTTATGCTCCTTAAAGTCAGCATCTTAAAATGCTTTTGAAAGTCTTTCAGGAAAACAACGCCTGGCAATTTTGAATTTCGTTTTCTTGAATAGAAGTAGGGCTTACTTGCTTTTTATCAAGGGCGCAGAATGTACTGGCAAGCTGAAAAGCGCTTACAGTTTGTACCCTCAAGGCGCTTCTGTTCTTCTAGAGATAATCTAACAAAAACCTGAGCATGAGCATTTGTGACACATTCTGCCAGACCCTTAAAACCGTTCTCACAGCTCTTTCCAATGACTGTTCTAAACCTGCAAATGAATATGCGTGCCCTACGCAAGGACCTGTCTGGAGTATTTAGAAAGTACAAGAAGAGAAACTTCAGCACACTTTCGCCTAATCCTTAAATTCAATAAAATGAAAGACTCGGTTTTTTAAAGTACAGTTTTATAAATAAAATGAGTTTTCTCCATAGCACCTTTGAATTCATTAGTTTAGAACTGCTTTTAATTTGGTCTTTCCCATGAGAGCCATTATATTTTTCTCCTGTCAGCCTGATGCTGGAGAAAAAAGAAAACTGGCAGATGTGGTGTTTTTCATCTAGTTTGCTTCCTAGTTAAAAAGTGCATTAAGTGTTAGGCACAGAATATTATTTATAAAAACTCTTCGCCACCATTAACAACTTTAAAGAAACTTGGTTTAAATATTGCCGATGCAAATGGATTAAACATTTTATTTCCTCCCATTATGAAACTATAGAAGTACTTTATTTTATACTGTTTTTTAGGTCATTACAGTAACTATTTTCAGGGATCTATGGTAAATGGGATTTTTTCAAATTCGTTTTTCACAGACAATTCCAGTGGTTCTCTCAATATATTATGTTTCAGCTCCTGGTTTAGTTATATGTAGTTTACAGCCTCATTTACTTTAATGTGCTACTTGAATAACATAATCATAGCTATAACTATGGTATAGGGCCATAAGGTACATGCACCTCTAATGTTTTTTGACTATTTAAATGGCTTGTTCATAAATGTTCCTTTAATAATGATGGCAAGCCTTCTAGTGGCTAGATGTCAGAATATGATGAGTCATTCAAATGGGTTTCTTTTCCATCTAAAATGTGTAATATGTGGCATGAAGATCAAAGTTAATGTTGTTTTTCTGTTTGCTGCCTATTCTCACAAGTAGAAGATTTTTGCTCTGAATACACCTCCACCGACTTGTTTTGTGCCATTATGTAAGCTTCCTAATGTATTTGTCTTTTCCTTTTCTTCTCAAACAAGATGTGATTTTCATCAAGAAAGGTCAAACTGAGTATGTATCGGAGAAGAATATTTATGTATCTGCCTAGGATAACACCCACTTGTGTACATCAGAAGGCATTATGTATTGATAGCTTTACAGGGTATATTAGCACCTTCTCAGTCATCATCTCGGATCTCCCTGTGAGAGTTTGGAAAAAAAAAAAAAAAAACCAACAAAAAACCTGTTTATTGTTCCAGGCTCTTCGGTGTAACGGGAAACTGTGCTGCCTGTAGTAAGCTCATCCCTGCCTTTGAGATGGTGATGCGTGCCAAGGACAATGTTTACCACCTGGACTGCTTTGCATGTCAGCTTTGTAATCAGAGGTAAGCAGATTTCATCCTGGTGTCTGAAAACACGGTAAGCCTCTCTTTGCTAGTTATTTATTTAATAGATGGGAACTGTATATTTTACTTAAAGCAGTTAATCTCGGCATTTTTGTTTTCTAAAAACATTCACCTAGTACCAGAAACAAACCACTGGGGGGAAAGGTCCGAAAACTACCTGAAGGAAAAGCATCATATAACAGGATGCGATACGAAATGAAGATATGGCTATAAACTTTAGTTTTCTTATCATTCATTCTTTCATGTGTTTCTGTCTTTTTAAAAAATCAGTATAAAATATCCTTAAATTTTATTTAAAAATTTTAAACGTATGTTAAATGTTTCTTTCTTTGTAAAAGTAAGCTTAAAGTCTTTAGTTTTTTTGTACTGTGAGCAAACGCATGTGCACAGAGGCAAATATACAGGAATTTGCAGGAAGTAGTGTGTCTTCATCTTAGTTTTCATATTTATAGTTGCCCTATCTCTCCATTCTTATCTTGAATTCTAATCTTGTTTTAGATATCCTTTTTAAGTTGCTTTATATCTCTTGGGAATGAGGCCAAACATAGCTAATAATTAGACACTTATCAGCATTGGACAGGCAGCATAGGAACATGGGAAGAGTGTTGCACAAGGAATCTTGAAACCCAAATGCTAGTCTGGACTTTGCCCCTAAGAAGACGTATGCGCGTATGTCAACCATTTGAGCTCTCTCGGACTCGGTTTTCTCGTTTACGACATAAGGGAGCTAGATTAGTCAGCCTCAGAGAACTGTCTCATCTCCAGGTATTATTGCTTTATCCTATTTGTCCTCATTGAAAGCTATAACTTTTATTTCCAGTGGGAACGCTATACTACTGATACCTGTTTTATATGAGAAATGCAGAGCATATTAGAATATGCAACTGTACATATCATTAAAACACATTTTAAAAACTAGTACACTTGATAGATTTTAATGAAAATAAATTCAATGTGAGTGTGAAACCACCTGGACATAGCATAATAATCAGGACATGCTAGTTGCATCAAGTTCTCGGTTACAGCAATTTGCCCTGCTTTACTATTCAATGCAGCATCTTCCTATGAGGCCCTGTATATAGCAGGTTTACAGTGTGAACAGGATTCACATTCTGTCCCCATCCTGTATCAGCTTTGTCATCTTGAGTATGTTACTTAATCTCTAAGATTGGTTTCCACACCCTGAAAATAGAGGCACTCTTACCTATCTTGCAGGGTTTTTTTTAAAGAATTTTTAAAATGTTTTTTATTTCTTTTTGAGAGTCAGAGAGAGACAGTGCGAGCAGGGGAGGGTCAGAGAGGGAGAGGAGACACAGAATCTGAAACAGGCTCCGGGCTCTGAGCTAGCTGTCAGCACAGAGCCCGACGTGGGGCTCGAACCCACGAACAGTGAGATCATGACCTGAGCCGAAGTCAGATGCAGATCATGACCTGAGCCGAAGTCAGATGCTTAACCGACTAAGCCACCCAGGTGCCCCACAGGTTTTGAAAATTCAATGAAATAATTTATATTAAGTAGCAGGAACACAAATGGTTCTAAAAAAGTAGCTCTTTTATCTTGATATTTATAATTTACTTTTACCAAATAAGATTGCATTAACTTGGTTTTTACTCAAGAGATATATCTCAGTGATGTCTCCTGCTAGATGTAGATGTTCAGAGTGGTGCCCAGTATACTTTGCAATATGTAATTTCTCCAGGAAATAATTCAAGAAGTCGCCTTACAACACCTTGAGTCTTCCCAACAAGTTTTTGGAACCAAAGCAGGTTAATTCAGTCTATGGTGACATTTAGCCAGAAAAAAATTGGCAAATATGCATGTAAAGGATGTAGATACGTGAGCACAGATATCCATACATTCATACAGATACATCTATATGCATGTATACCTGTGTGTGTATATATTTAAAGGTGTATTAGAAGTATATTTAGAATACTTCTGTTTACTTGTGCCGTTGATCCACTAACACATCCAGTAACAATTCAGTTATCTTTATGCAATAATAACATTTACTGTTGTTCTGCTTATAAAAAGTTATATATTCATAGTAGAAATTTTGGGAAACAGAAAGAGATTAAAGAATCATATTGTCTGATATCTCACTATTCTAAAAGAAGGTATTTTAATATGTTGATGTCACTAGCCATATGTTTTCTTATGCATAAATGACAAATGATATCCAGCATATATTTATAATATATCCACATTTTGAGATGCTTAAGAATCCTAATTTTGATAATTGGGCTCTTTTATTTAATATAGTATGCTCGTTTACTTGCCCCTAGAAATTCTTTCAAGATATTTTAAGCTTTCTTGTGTTTGGTTTTATGAATAGAGCTTCATATATTAAATCAGTCTTCTGTCATCAGAGGTGTAAGCTATTTCTTCCCATTTTTTTATCATCACTCTTATCAACATAATATGGATTTTATAATCAGACAATATTGAAGTCTGTGTTAGGATAAATTCACAGGCGCATACTTATTTGGACAAAATATGTAAGTGTTTAAAGGCTTATGTGATAAATTGTTAAAATGCTCTCCAGAAGAGTTACACCAAGTATTCTCATACCAGAAATGTAAAAGCTATGTATTCCCTTACATTCACTCTAACGTTGGGAATTATTATTGAAAAGGAAATCCTTGTCACCTTGAATGATGAGAGATGGTGTCCCAGTATAATTTTTAGTTAGTATTTATGATTACTAGTGGCCCTTGGATAGTTCTTCTTTTAGGGAACTGCCTGTTATGCCCTTTGTACATTTTTCTATTAGGGCAGGCTACTCTATTTTATCCATGTTCTACACAGAAAATTAAAACATCATTCAAGTGCTAAACCCAGCCTAAATTCTATTATGATGCAAAGTAATTGTAGGTTGTTAGTGCTATTTACAAATCGTATATCAATTTTATTTCACCACTGAAATAAAAAGTTGCATTCACAATTAAGTCTATCTCCTCAGTAGGACCCAGTCAAGTAAGACAAACACTCCTAAATTTTGACTCTAAAACTGTTCACATTCTTATTGCTGCAAAATACTATTCTAGTATCATTATTAAAGTACCTAATATATTTCTGTGTTCGCTTCATTTATTACATGCCATAATGGGACTGCATATCTTTAGTGCTGGTTATGCACAATTAGCACTTAGTTATTGTCTTGTCACTTCAGCCCCTGCAAGACAAACTTCTTTAATGCAAGAAGTCAGCTAATCTTCATCAGTCAAGCAAAGCAGGCAAATGTTGTTACTCTGAATACAGAAGGTTTTCAATATAGGAGATTTTCTTTTTACTTTGACATTTGCCGGGGGAATCCTCTCCAATAAAGCCATATGCCACACAAGCCTATACTTTCACGAGCCAAATCATTACTATAGCATTGCACCTTTTCAAGTGAGACACAAAGCAAAGAGGTAATTTATAGGCACTTTCCCTTAAGCAAACTTTATTGACATCTGAAATTGTGGTATTAGAAATGCTTATGAATTTTATTTAGCAGTCATTTCAGCTTAACTTTTAAATCAAAATATCATTAAGATCTAAAGCATTGCTGAATGTTTTCAAAATAGTAGGAAAAATAACTTTTCAGGATTGGTTGTTTCTTGACCACACTATCTCTGCCCTTTTTAGAGGGCTCTGGCTAAAGATGTGAATCCCGAATTAAAAATATAATTTTTTTTTTTCTATTTTAAGGGAAGCAGAGGACTGTTATTTTGAGCATCTTATATGGTAACGTGACTCTCATCCAGAACTGGAAAATTTGGTGTAATAGGTTAATTTCTTAAGGTTAATTTCTTAGAGGTTAATTTCTCTAAGCCTTTCCTCCTCAGAAAAATCTGTAAAACTAAGCGATGGTTTTATAAGAAAAGGGAAAGAAAAACATGTTTGTAATGAAATGGCCTCAAATACACAGAGTTGTGTAACACTAAAACATAAAAGCACCATGCTAGGCTCTGGAAAGAGAGGTAAAGAAAATCTAGTTTCTCTCTTAGAGATATTCAGAGCTATGGGAGAGACAGGACATCAAAGACTCACAGAAGAGTGTAATCGATGTTAAACAGATCTATACTGAGGGAAGAGAGGTCTGTCCTTCTTGAAGTCTTAGGGAAGCATCCAAGGGTTGATGTGCTGGGTTTTAAAAAAGAGCTCCCGAAGACTGCCTGGAACGTAGGAATCATGTCTGTTGGGGGTTGGGGAAGATGAGGAAGCCAAGGCGCAGTGAGAAAAGGGTTTCCCAGACAGATGGAGCATCATGTAAGGCATGGAAGTGTGAAAGCATTTAATGTGTGCAGGAAATGAAAAGTAGCTCGATGTAGTTACAAGTTACCGAGGGAGTATGGTAGAGATGTGGAGAAGTAGGAAATGACGCACAGATCAGGAGGAGATGAAACTAAACGGGGGAAGTCAATGAATGAAAGTCAAAACGAGTCTGAATTTAAATGCTCTGTCTAAAATACCTTTGTTATTTAAAGCTATTCAGTTCTGGAATAAATCTGTCTGAACCAGTATTTACTGACCACCCACCTCAAGTGGTAGTACAATTTATGGTGGTATTTCAAAGGGTTCAGGAGAAATATAACTCATGGCCACTTACCTCAGCACTTCAGTCCCGTTTGGAAAACTTGTTACGCATTCATAAGAAAATTTGAAATGCCAGAGTAAATGATACACCAATAAATAAGTGCTCTGGGAGAGATCAGAATGAGTTGACATGGCCAGGGAATATTGATGGAGGGAAGGGAAACCAAAGAATTTTTAGAATTTAAAAAGATGGTAAAAAGGGAGAAATAGTCCTGGCTAGAGAACAGCGTAAGCAAAGGTGAAAAGATTATCATTAGCAAATAATAATGATATCAGAGGTTTTTTTTTTTTATTTACTTTTGAGAGAAAAATTGAGATCAAGCAGCGGAGAGGTAGAGAGTAAGGGAGACAGAATCCCAAACAGGCTTGGTGCTGTCAGCTCCGGGCCCAGTGTGGG